CACACACACACACACACAAAAAAATATCATGATATAGGTGACAACTTGGGTAGATTTCAGAGGCATTATGCTGAGTGAAAGATGCCAGTCTCCAAAGTTTATATTCTGTATGATTCCACTTATACGATATTCTGGAAAAGATAAAACTATATGAAAACAGGTCAGTGGTTGCCATGTGTTTGGAGAGTTGAGAGAGGATTTAATCACGGTGGAATAGCATAAAGGAGTTTTTTTGGATGATAGAACTGTTCTTTATCCTGACTGTAGTGGCAGTTATACAAATATAAATGTGTGCTAAAAATCATGGCACTGTACACACATGCAAAAGGGCAATTTACTGTGTGTTAGATTTTTTTTTAAAGTAAAATAAAATATTCAGAGTGCTTGATTATGCTTACTGAGAACATTAAAAAAAATGTTCTAATGGTAGTGGTATACTAGGGGTTCCTGATGATTTAAATATTAAATTGTGCTCTTTTCAATGAAAAACTAAGTCATTGATATAGTTGCTAGGTTTACAAAGAAGGTGAAAATAATATGGCTTATACTCAATGCAATGGATAACAGCTTAGGCTCTATGCAAGAGTGTAGGAGAATATTCAAAGTTATGTGTCTCCCAGTGGCTGTAACTTGGTCGTCCTGTGCATATGGAACATTTTGCTGTTCTTTATGGTAATCATTTTCCTACCTTGGAGTTTATATATGGTGTGTGACAGTTACGGTGGCCATGGGAACCATAACTTTAAGTTCTGTGACTTTTCTATGAGTAAAACCAGCCATAATGTTGAATTAATGTCATTCCTCACTTTGAATTTTCATGTTGTTATTGCATTCTTGAATAAAAGCTCTGAGATCATTTTGGATAGCATGTAAGTGATGGTGGTTATGTGGAATAGTTTTGCCATTTAATTAGCTCATCATTGAGTACAGTCAGGCCCACTTGGGAGCATATACATGGCATGCCGGTTGGAGAGGTTTAGGCGTCCATCCATTCACTCCTCCGCTTGAAAGTAGAAGATGCCAGACCACTATGATCCTTGGCTGACACCATCCACTTTAAACTGAAATTCTGATCCCAGCCTCGGTAGTTTTGTGGAAGTGTCTTCAAACAGGATTGGCTAAGTGTAGCATTAATTCATTTAATAAAACGGAAGACAACAGTGGGAGATTTTCGGGCTGCAGAGCATCAGATAACACCAGTTACTGCTGGTTCTGTGATTGCCACTGTAAATCAGGCAGAAATTGACTGAATTTCTGGGAAATAACGTACGGTGTAAAAGGCATGCAAATAACTCTTTTGACATTGGGAGCTTTGAATAAGGTTCTGATTGTTGTCATAAAGCAGTCTTCAGACACTCCCGCCCAGCTCACCTGGGTGTCTTTTTATACATATCACATATAGGAGGTACCAAGAACCAGAGGGAGAGGTTGTTCGGCAAAGGACCTGCTGCAACCTTACTTGTCTGCTATCAGGCTGAGCTCCACGTTGAGAGTCAGGGCTGTTCCTGCCTGGGCAGTGGTGGTACTTCCAGGGCTGGGGGACACAGTGACCAGAGTGCTGGGGCCTTTAGAGAAAGCTCCAAGTGCCTGAAATCACCTTTGATCCTGTGCGAGTTCATCTGAGTTGAACACAATATAGTCACAGTCTAGGACCATTAAACCTGGGGCTGGTGGGGGAAGAGGCAGACGTGAGAACCACAGAACTATGCGGCCTCCGTTCTTCCCAGCTGAGGGGCTGTGAGGCTCCAAGTCATCTCATGGTCAGGGCTCCTTTCTGCCCTGTCGCAACCCTTCTTGAGGTCACTGCATGCAGACGTGGTGGGACAGAGAGACCCTCCTTGTTTGCAAAGTCCTCACCAGCCCTCTCGGGGGCTGAAAAATTGCCCTTCTGGTCTGAAACCAGTATTTCAGAAGCTCCGCTTGAGAGACATTGTGTGTCTTGGAAGACAACCTGCCATCCAGGCAGGATCTCTGAATTGTGTTCAGGGTCCCCTAATGGTTGCTGTGGATGGGAAGGACCAATGTCATCAGCGTCGCTGGTCCCTGCCTCCATCCCCAGTGGTTCTTGGTTATCTAAGCAATCTCTGCAGTCCTGCTTCCTGTCTCCAAACCATACATAACCTTGGACTTACCAGCCTTCTTTGGAAAAGAAAATCTCAGCTTTTTCACACAAGACATGAGCACAGCCTGACGTGCCAGACAAACAGGAGTGTATTCAAATTTCTGGGAGGCCATTTGTTCATGTCCCCTCCATTCTGCCTTTCTCTGCAGACAGCTGTCCTCACACTTAGCCCAGAAACCCTGTAAAGTCCCAGGGCTCTTCTGGACCCTTCCTTTGTGCATATAAAACCTGACACAAATGAGGAGTCTACTATATCTGGTACTAACCACTGAGTGATGTGGTCTTCCCAGCCCTGTGCAATCATTTCCTGGGTATGGGAGGCATATTTAAATTAGGAAACATAAACACTTCCTATTCTGAGGTCATTTGTTCAGAATTTTAGTTTCCTAGATTTTGTTTGAAATGTTTCCTGCCTGACTAACATGCTCAGTTCTTTGGATCCTGAGTTGCCCATTTTTCTTTGGAGGCTGGGGGCAGGGCGGGCCCACACTGGGAGGCATCAGGCAAGATGGCCCAGCTGCTCCAGTTCCTGCACTGGGAGCAAAGCTATTTGTATGCTAGGTCTGTGGGTGAACTAGGGATGCCCGACTGGCCCAGCAGGAGATTGCAGTTGGCCTTATCTATGCTCTGATCAATGACTTAGATGGCAGGGACCACAGCCAGAATGACGCCACAGAGTCTACCTCTTCTTGCCAATTCTTGCCACACAAACAGGAAGGCAGCCCGCACATGTGAAACTGGGTGTGCAGATGTTCTCTTTTCCAAAGGGAAAGACCTGATAAAGGGCATCTTTCATGGGTTGATATTCTTTTGCTTTTTTAAATCGGGCATTTTTTTTTTCTTTTTATTTACAGAAGCTATGTGGAGGTGGTGATCTGAATGCTTCTATGACATCTCAACAGTTTGAAGAACATTCTGTGAGTGGCATTTCTTAAAAACAAATACTAAAGTAATTATGTTAAATATTTCTCAATCAAATGTTTGGGTTTTTATTTCTATGCCGCTTTTATTTTTAAAGAATGGCAAACTCTATCCACCTACCAAAACAGGCTTGCACATTTTAGCTGGAAGAGATTAATTCAGTGTCTATTGATTTGT